TTGTGGTCAACATTTACCAAAAAAAAAAAAAATTTGTGGTCAACAATTATTTATTCACAATCTGTACATAAAAGTAAACCCAACTCAACTCAACCCATCCGTTTGCAACCTCTATACATCGCTGTCTTATTTCCTACTCCAATGGAGTTTGGGCACCACCGGAAAACAGAACCTAACAGTTCACCCTGGAAACCTCTTAACTACAGCCTATATATATATATTTTTTTGACAGAAAAAATAATTAAAAGTCATATTAGTATTTGCTCTTGACAAAATTCGAATACTAATTAAAGGTACAATTCACCAATGAATTGCAGTGAGCACCAATAACCATAACAAGAGAATGCAACTGCAGCCTATATTAATTACACTTGACTCAGAAGAAATTGCTCTACGGAGGCCAACGCCGGCCCTGGTTGCGCTGCACCTCCCATATTTATTAGTTCCAGGCCGCAGATTTCGGGTCCCACAAAAGAACAACTTTCCACTGGCACAATACACGTGGGTCGCATCTCTTGTACCGTGTTGTACAGTGTCTACTCTCTAACCCCTTTGGTTGGTCCAAGAAGGCTAGCCATTGCTTGGGCCTGAGTTCTAAAAGCCCAATATTTTGACTTCAATATTCAAATCCCTTAGGCTGAAAGGAAGTCGAATATTCAGAGACATATTACAGAAAGTAAGTACTTGTTGATTCTTTTCTTTTTTTTTTTTTTGCTTAACACTCGAGTAATTTTGAAATTAGTACTCACACTTTAAGATTAATTTTTTTTAATTCGATTATGATTAAATAATTTATAAAGAATTACATCATTATTAACTAAATAAACTTACTTACCAATCACATCATCACTCATTACATTATTCACTTAGTAAAAATATTAAGTTGCAAAGTTTTAACCGTTTATTAGTTTTTCCATTTCAATTTAACAAGCATTATTCTTTTATTTATTTATTTATTAAGTTAGTAGAGAGATCTGAAACCATCACTCAAAGTATTTCAGGATATATGACTCACCAATCTATTGACAAACCATGGTGTTAAAGCTTCCGATAAAAGAATCACTTCTTTAAAACGAATCCCAGAATTGAACTGACACTACAAGAATTCATTGTATCACCGACAAGCAGCCATGTCAGAAAAAAGAAGGAATTTGGTCAGTGAAATAAAATATCCACTTGAATCATGTCGGTGATAGGTTTCTTGGTGAAGTCGGGCTCGGTGATTCAAACACCGACGTAGATGAAAATCACGTCGGTAAACGCACCCATAATTACTGACAAAGAACATCTTGGAAATAGGGAGCCAGAACAGTCCACCGAAAAACATTTCTGGTTCCCACGTCGATAAATTATCGACAAGGATAATGTCTGAACAGATAGAGAAGCCTCGTGCCCAGCGCTAATCACCGACGAGCATCACGTCTGACAATGCAGGAAAAATGCTTCACAATTTGGGCCATGTTAGTAAATTATCGACAAAAATCACGTCTGAACTACACAAGGATCTTCGCTGCAGGTTCAAAATCATCTCCAAAATTTTAGGCGTCAATTTTTTCAGGCGCCATTTTTTATTTTTGTTTTCCTAGTTACCGACGAGAATCATGTTGGTAATTGAGCTTGAAAAAATTTTTAAAAAATCTCAAATTCAGCTCATATTAAAATTAATATATATTTATTGTTTAATTAAATTAATTTA